CCCGGGCTGCGCGCCGGCCGGCCTGGGCGCGCTGGGGGCGCGCGGAGAAGGGGTGTCCAGGAGCTTCCCGCGTGTCGGGCGCCCACATTCCGCCCTGGGGGCGCTGGGAGACCCGCCGTGCTATTACAGCACTGCCAAGAGCACAGACCGGGAAACTGAGGCCCAGAGAGGTCAAGCGCCCTCCCAAGGTCACCTGGTGAGCGATCCGGGCTAGAGGGGACAAGGACGGAGCCGGGGGAGCCAGGGTTCGCCCCAGCCGGGCACTGGGGAAAGCAAGGAGGTGAACAGCCCTGCTCGGTAAAGCTCCCTGGACTTGCCTAACTTACGTCGTTTTGCTGTCACCCCCGTATTTGCGAGAAAATAACGCAGGCACGTCAGCGCCCGGCCTCTGAGTGCCGGCCTCCTGAGACCCTTGGCGCTGAGGTCGGTTACATAAAAGCGCGTGCCCTTCAGGGCGTCTTTGTCATCCCGGCTTGCCACTGGTTGTCTTTCTTTTGGCCATAAACCGGCGGCTGTGACTGGACTCGGATGAAGGAGCTATACCCAGCCTGGACTCTATCCCACGTGGGTGTTGGTATCCTGTGTCCTTCTCTGCTTACCCCGACCCCCCAGCAGGGACTTCCCCAGGCCATTTTCAAATTTCCATAGCAGAGCAAATGTCCCCCAGCTGGCAAAGACTCCAGAGTCATTGTCCTGCCCCTTCTCCTGCTTTTAAACCTCGCCTCAAACCCTGGCCTCTATGAACCTCCCCTAGGTAGTCTTCCAGGACTCCCCCAACAAAGCTGGTCACTTCTGTCCCCCTGAGAAATGGTCAGAGATCATTCACAGAGGGCTGCAATTGTCTCTGAACTAGAATTTTGTTTAGGGGATCAAGATCCTGGTCTAGTGCACAGGGCAGGTGTGGAGGGCACTAGAAATGTTTGTTGTAATAAGCCAGCGCCTGCCACTGCTCTGCCAATGGCCTGAGGCCACATCCCCATAGATTCCCCTCGCACCCTCAGTGCATGTGGGGCTGCCTTATAACCAGAGGTGCTGGGCCTGGATATCTAAGGAACGCCAACCTGCCTCACTCTCAAGCATCCCGTCCCCTGCTTCACCCCTGGATTACCCAACTTTCAGGTAAGGCATCATTCAAAGTCCCCAATAAACTTGCAGCAGTCAGAAAGGTGAGCTGTTAAACACATGGCCCGGGAGGCCAGATGGCCCAAGTTTTGAATCATGGCTCTGCTGCTCCCTAGCTGTGACCTCGGGCCAGGTATTCTACCTCTTGTGCCTCGGTTTCGTCCCGTGTCAGGTGGAAATAAGAATAGAACGTATTTGATAGAGGGCCATGAGAGTTAAATTGTTGACTCATGATGAAAGGCCCCAGATAGCATCCGGCAGGTAGTAGTAACACTCTGTCCCTTGTCTGGGTTCTCTGCGTGGCTGTTCTCTGAGCTCCTGAACCTGCTTCCTTCCATTCAGCTGCAGTTCCCAGCGACTCCTGCCCCTCCTTGCTGGATTGAGTAAAGGACAACCCCTGCTTCTGTCCTGGGGCCAAGAGCCTGGCTGACAGCGCTGCAGTTAGGGTTATAACTAATTCACCCTAGGTCTCAGCTTCAGGCTCCAGACCTCCTAAACTCAGATTGTACCAGAGTCTTCAAGAGCAGTTGGAAGAATTCACAAGGAAATGTGCTCCCCTCTTACAGCTGAATAGAAGTACCTATTCTGGCTTCTTTTTCTGTATCACAGGACTTACATTCTCAGGTGTGGTTCTCTGGCAGCTGCTTGTAAAAGGAGGGAAGAGAGGCTTGAGTGTCTGGATGTGTCCCAAGAGAGGAGAAGGGGTACCGCATGCTCAGCTGCTTTCCTCTGAGCACTTGGTCTTAGACTCTCTGTTCTCTCTGCATCTTCCATGCAGATCTTCTGCCCCAAGGACACCCTAACCCTTGAGTAATCGCTGTTTTTTTTGTTTGTTTGTTTTGTTTTGTTTTTTCTTTTTTTGAGAAAGATTTTTGCTAGAGGGCATGTGTGCCTGCCAGAGAGACAGAAAGCAAGAAACCACCGCGGAGGGGATTGCCATGCAAAATCCCTTCTCCTCCATCCTCCTCTGTGGATTTTGGGCATGTACCCACACACGCCCAGTGCGAGTCTCAAGCTGCTGGGTCTGGGACTCAAACCACAGTCAGTCACACAGGAGTCCTGCACCTTAACCACTATACCACCTGCTGGCCCCTGAGTAATCGCTGTTCTTAATAAGCATTTACTCAGTACCAGGCATTCTGCTAGCGGCTTTGCATCCTCTACAGTTCTCTCAACACACACCAGGGGAGATTCCAGTTAACACCACTTACAACTCAGGAAACTGAGGCTCGGAGCAGTTTAATGTTCAAACTTTGCTTAAGGTTCCACAGCTGTCAGTGGGGAATCCCACGGTCACATACCACTTGACTCTAAGGTCCCCTGCTCTCCCTTCTGACTCTGCCTGACCAGGTAGCAGTCTGGGGCCCTGTGACTGGCTCTCCATTTGAGCAGTTGGCAGAGATGTCCCGCAGGCAGCTGGAGAGGAGGGCTGTACACTGGGAAGCTGACGGCAAAGGCACTGAATCTTCTGGCCTGGACCCTCCTCTTCACAGAACCTTCCAAGAGGGCAGCTACCCAGCACTCTGAGTGCCTACACAAGGTCCTCCAGGGAGGAAGGAGACGAATGTCTCTGTGAGATGTTCAGGAAATGTGCCCCACCCACCAGCCTGGCTGTGGGGCTCCCATGGGCCTGCTGTACAGCCTGCTGCTCCTTGTGAGATCACGTCCTGCAGCACTGGCCCTCGGAGCCCTCCGAAAGGTAGAGCCTCAGGTCTTGGGAAAGGTGGCAGTTCTCCTGCAAGCAGCTGCAGGTAGGACTCAGACCTGGGTCTTTGGGCTTCCAAGCCACAGATCTCTCCAGAATACACCAGTACTCACTGGGCCCATGCCATGTGTAGAGATTGCTCTGGGGACAGGGGCCACAACCATGAACAAAACAGCTGCTCCAAAGATACTTTAGACCAGTGGCCTGGGCCACTTTTTCTATCTGTGGAGTTTGTGGTGACCCTGGATTGGAGGCCTGAAGCTTCAGTAGGGAATTCTGGCTGCCCCATGTTCTGATCCCCAGAGACAGAAGGGCTTTTCTCAAACCAGCATCATTGCCCATCTCAGTAAGTCCCTGCAGCCTAGTCCACCACCAGAATGACACTGTCTCTCAAAATCCCTACCTGCCTCCTCTCCCCACACCCTCACTGCCGCGGAGAGGGAGATAGACACTGCTTGACCTTTGTGACACTACAGTAAGTCAGATGCCAGTGCAGAACTTCTGATGTCGTCAGAGGATGCCCAGCATGTGGGGAACACATCTATGAAGTCGTTTTCCCATGTGTACAAGATTGTTGCTCACACTGCAAGCTTCCAGTTGCGTTTGTTCAGTCGAGGTGACCCCTGTCCCAGCTACCCAAGACCTTGCAGCAAAATCGGAATCCAACTGCACTGAGGGCAGAGACCTCGGTTTGGCGCCTGCCCTCCTGCTCACTAGCCGTGCCATCCCGAGTCAGCTACTCAGTATCTCTGAGCACAGGCAGAGATGGATGCCTGCCTCACGGGGTCATCATGGGGTTTAAACTGGGGCGTTAAGTATGGCATAGACCCTAAGTGCATTTTTGCAACTCTCTGTACTCTACTCCACTAATATTGTATGTACTCCCACTCCCGCTTAACTCGGGTCCTGGTCATTGGTGGGCACCTTTGCCTCCACCACAGTCCTCAATCCTGCTCAGCCTCGCGGTCCCAAGGCCTGACCTGGCGGTCAGGTCATGACAAGTATTCAGCATTTATATGGGGGCTGCTTCTGAATTGCATTCCCCTAATGGCATTGCCACCAGCTACCTGAGACAGGTGGTCTTTGCCACATAAGACAGGCACTGAGAGATGGCATAACCTGCCCTAGAAAATCAGCCATTTGTGTGTCAGATGCCAAGATTCTCGTCCCTGAGTCCAGTTCGGGACAATAGAAAGTACATTTTCTAAACATTTAACTATGGCTGGAAAGACCTACCACAGGGAGGGGGCACTCAGACCTTCAAAGTCAGGACCTTAAAGAGGTTCAAAACTCACCCATAGATCTGAATGCCTTTGCCACAGATCAGTTGGTCTGTTAGTGGCTCTCTCCTATCCTCACTCAAACTCCAAAAACCTCCAGTTCTCAATGTATAGAGAGAAAGCTGGAAGAAAATGTAGAGATCCAGTAGTCAAAGCCAGTAGTTTCCAGAGGTGAGGAAACTGTTGCTCTGAACGTTTAAGTGACCCAAAGACAGTAAGTGGAGAATTGGACATGTGTGCATAAACACACTCTCCCAATCTAAGGATGGGTGGAGTCAGACCTGCCAGCCCAGACACTCACATACCTGAAGACACCTGTCCTTCTGTCCCCATGTCCTGTACCCTGCAAGTCTGTTTTCTCCGTATTCGGTGAATGGAAAAGTCCAGCTCTCTCTGGTTCTCCTGCTTCAGTGTCCTAGCAGCTAAGACAGTCACAGATATTGTGCACACTCCCCCTAGTGGCCCAATGTGGAAGTCCATGCACCCAAAAGTTCATGTGGTTAAGCTGGTCTCCATCCAAAAGGAGTCCCAGAAGGGACTGTAATTTCATCCAGGAGGGAGAGAAGTGAGCTGTGGTCTTAGGTGGAAGAGAATAAAAAGGGAAGAAGGTGAGGGGGGCAGGAAATATGTGTGAGAGAGAACAAAAGGAAGAGAAAGGGTGAGGATAATTAAAAGACTAAAAGCTTGAAGGAGAGGTTTCTCAAGCCTTTCCCTGCTTCAAAGATAAATACACAAACACACACACAAATAGTAATAGGAAATAGTAAGAATCCACATAGCCAGCATCAGCTAGCTGCCTTTAGCACCAGGTGGGTACAAACAAGCCAGCCACTAGAGAGGACGAGAACCCCATGTTTGACCCCATCAATGCCTGCCTCTAATCTTTTTAAAATAGAAATCCTTCTCACTCTCTATTTCTGAGCTTGTAAAGGTTAGATGATAGCAGTTCTCTTCCTATTTTATTGAAGCCTGATGAGAACAATAAAGATTTGCAGAGAAAACCCTGAAAACTTCTCTGAGCTCTCAGATTTAACCATTACAGAAGTGTTTTATTATTTTTCTTGATGCAGTAGCAGCTTTCCATCCTTTGCTTCCTGGCCTAGAAAGTTATATGCGATGCTGGCCCACCTTAGTGCGTGCTGCATCAACCATGCATCAGGTCATCACCGCCTTTGGTGCTTTGTAAGATGCTGTGACTTGGAAAGCGCTGTAGAAATGTGAAGCATTACTGCCACAGTAGTAAAGACATCCACGTCCATCTCCTGAACCACTCTTTCTTGTCAGGATGCGTAGAGATGCACACAAAACAATTCCATCTACATTAGTAGGACTTTTACAGTGAAACAGGAGATGTCTGAGTCAGACAAAAAATGATAGGAAACAACATGTTTGGTAATATCAAGTAACCTCAGTGATTGCACAGTTACCAAGGGGGCAGTGAAGGCTTCAGAGTCCACTGCAAAAGGAAACACACCTAGTCTTGAATAAAAATGCCAGCTTGTGTGTATGCGTGTTTTTCTTTAGTAAAAACCTAAAGATATGAGCTCAACAAAAATGTCTGCTAAATGAGAACAGACATAAAGTAAATGTCATGTCCTCATGTAAGATCAACAAATGACAGAAGAAACCATTTCTTTTTAAACAATAATGAACTTTGGTCAATGACCCAAGTGTGGACTCACTCAGTATCTCCAAAGATTTCATTGTGTGTGTGTGTTTATTGTTTTAACTTTATTTACGTATTTCTTCCCATGAGAGAGACGGGCAACCCCACTACAATCCCCACAGCATGACCCACCCCCAACCCACCAGGCTGGGATCATGGGCACACTCATGCCCTGCATGCTCAGGGAGATCCCAGGATGTGAACCCAGAACCTTTGTCATGTGGGTCCAGCTATGTCACTGCTACACCACCATGTGACTCCTCAATTTCATTCTTCGAATTCTCTATGACATGGGGCTAGCCTTCACACAAACCTCAGTCCTTATCACTACCCTGTGTGGATTTATCAGGATGAAAAGCTGAAATCCCTTGTTAACAAAGGAGAGAGGTAGGGGACTTGGTATAGTAGGGCAACCTTGATTGATTTCATCCTATCTCAAATGATGTTCAGTACCAGAACATTTCAGCTTTCTCTGACAAATTATCCTCTGAATCAATTTTCTCTCAGTCTTCCTAGCTGGACCCATTGTGAACTGGTCTACAAAGCAGCAGCAACTTAGATGCATGGCCACAGTGATCTGTGCCATTATACATGAGCAGTCAGCCTTGAGCATCTAGTTGTTGAGGCTACCAGCCTGGGAACCAAACACAACCTTGGGCCTCCCTTCATCAGCTGGAGCTCTGGGGCAAGGCAGCCTCTTG